TGGTTATCAGCAGTCAAGAGAGACAGTCTTCAAGTCAGGGGGTCGCAGGACAAGGTCAAGGACAGCCTCCAATATTATTCCAGGGGCTTGGATACAGTCTGTCGGGAGTCAAGATCAAGTTCTTCTCTCGTAGGGGGTGAGGAACAAAATGTCGGACACTCTGCCGCTTATCTTGGCTTTCTCTGCCCTTTTGTGGCTGATTTTTCCTTGAATCAGAGAAAGGGAGAGATTGGTGGGATGGTAGTGGGTGGCACAGCTGTTAGAGCTGATTCTCTTACTGATGAAGGAAAGCTGTGATGTGGAGGTGTCAGTGTTAGACTGGGACGGACAAAGTCAAAAATCACATGACACCAGGCTATAGTCCAACAGGTTTATTTAAAATCACAAGGTTTCAGAGTGCAGCCCCTTTGTCCGGTGCAGTGATGAAGGAAAGGTGATGAGGTTTCCCAAGTGAGTGAGTAGGCAGTGCAGAGATCATGTAGTGTTCGGAGAGTGGGGGATTTTGGGTGGTTGAGAGAGAGTGAGGGAAGATGTTGCACGCAATAATGAACAGGGTATATCATGCCTAAACCATTATTTGTGTTGATTACACATTCAGATGGCTGCACTGGTGTTCCAGTCCAGAAAATCAGTACAACCATTAAAACTATCAAAAGTAGAATTCCTATTCACAGGTCACATTCAGAGCTCAAATCAATTTATTTCAAAAAATGTACAGTCAATGAGTGTCAATACACATCAAGCTCACTTTTGATGTCACACATGCAGACAGTCAACTTAGCAAAAATGCTAATTTTTTTTTGGACTGGTATTTGATCTCCACATGACAAGCTGCTTATCCTGTTTTCAATAAAGATCAGTGATACTCTGTACCAGATATGAGCAGGCTGTCAATCCATTACACACTGTAACTGACTTCAATAATATTAGGTTTGCTTTCATTTTCTATTTATGGAGGTGATTTTCTAAACAAAATCAAATAATCTTGGTACACACAGTTCCAAAGTGAAAATAAAGAAGTACTTTGATTAGGCCATGTATTCTGTTTAGTCCTAGTGTCTACAGTAATGCAATAATCATAATAATGCAAACAATTTGATCTTAAGCTAAAATCTAAGAAATAACAAGACAAATAAGATATCTACATCTGTAGGTATGAGTATAAATATACTTTTATCTCATTTTCTCAATCTGTGTTTAATTAAACATGTTTTCAAAGTGTTCTCATTGTGTTGATTATCTGTTGAAAACTGCTTTGGGAAACTTCAGCATAGTTGAGGACACTGTGTTAGAAACCTTCATTAGGATCACTAAGGACTTGATAAAAATATACAAATTGCGCAATGCACTCAAAAAACATATGTTTCCTATCTCTGTGCACAGATGTATTCAGCTTTCTTTTCCTCACTGAAATTCTTAGAATAATGGAAATCTTACACACAATCCTTAATCTTAGTTTTCTTCAGTTCCCATCAGATGCCCATTAACACAAGGGAGCACATGAAGCATATGCTAAATGACATTCTACTTAGCTCAGTGCATAAACACCATTACAGTCCACCAAGTCAATCAAAATGCTGAACTCTGAACTAAAATCCATAACAGGAACAAAAGTGCTGGATATATATAGCAAGCTCCACGGCATTTGAGCAGAGAAGAGATAAATGAATATTTCATATACAGACCCTTTACCAAGGCGGTCAATACTTAAATATTAATAATTATTTCTTCTTTGGATACCAACTGAGTTGGTGTGTATTTCTAGCACTTTTGGTCTCTATTTTGAAGTATTTTCCAGCATTCCTAGTATTTGTCTTTATTGGTACAAGAGAACAATAACACACCAATACTAACAGCATCTTCTCTAAAGGGGTCTCATCAAATAGTAATAATGGATTGTTGGTACTGAGGAAAATAGAACATTATGCCATTCCATATATTTGAATTGTGTCATCTTTGAAGTACCTCACCTACCTTCAATTTCTCAGTACAATTTACTTTTTAAAACAATATTTTTCTAATAAATATGTCCTAGAACAACTCAAGTCTTATTTAAATACTGATGCTTATGTCAAATCTGCACAAACAAAATATTTTTAAAAATACGGCAAGTCCACAAATATTTTATGATAGGACCATTCCTGTATGTGTTCTATTTGAAATATTAACATTCCCATTTGAGCCAATGCTTTCAGTGGCTCAAATACTTCTTCAAGCACATGTTGCGCAGCAGTAAAGTGCAGAAGCATGTGGATAGAGCTGCATTTAATATGAAATTAAATGGACCTAAGTGAGGTTTGCAGCTGTGCTGAAATCTATGTTGCTTCTCAGTTAAAAGCAACACAGTTACGAATCACACAAATCTTTTCAAAAGACTTAGCCTTAAGAATATAGTGCCACATTTGTATGAATGACAAGTCTTCAAAATATGTAACAAAATTATGAAGCAAAGTGATAAAATCTAACCTGATTTACATCTGGGTAGGAGGAAGTTACACAGCCCTAGAACAGATTAATATGTGAAGTGTTTCTTAGCACATTTGTGTTTGTAACTGCACAAATGTACTGTGAAATTGCTACTATAGACCAATGGAGTTAAAGATGCTCCAGATACCACTATATATTTGAAGCTTCTGTAGTTCAGGTTGTGGGGAGATAATATCTTTCTGCCTGCTCCTGGCACTTGCATTGTTAGAAGTGGCTCCTTTAGCTGGATGCATTATCACAGCCCAACTCTTTATGCCATTTGCATTAAGGAAACAGCCTCATGTTTATCCAATGGACAGCAACAGATGGAGTGAAATAAGGTAAATAATTCCACCAAAGTTATCCCAAGGTCTTACAATAACATTAACTTCAGCATCCCATTAAAAACTGACTTGAGATCACAATCCAGTGTTTCTAACTACATTTCACATGTCATGATGTACAATGGAACTGTTACAGAGTTATAGAATCATACAGCACGGAAACAGACCCTTAGGTCCAACCAGTCCATGCTGACCGTAATCCTGAACTAAACTAGTCCTACCAGCCTGTTTTTAGCCCATATCCCTCCAAACATTTCCTATTCATGAAATTATCCAAATATCTTTTAAATGTTGTAACTGTATCTGCATCCACCACTTCCTCTGGAAGTTCATTCCACACATGAACCACTCACTATGTAAAAATGTTGCCTCTCATGTCTTTTTTAAATCTTTCTTCTCACACGTTGAAAATATGCCCTCTAGTCTTGGAATCCCCCACCCTAGGAAAAAGACACCTGTCATTCACCTTATCTGTACCCCTCATGATTTTATTAACCTCTATAAGGTTGCCCCCAACCTACTACATTCCATTGAAAAAAGTCCCAGCCTATTCAGCCTGTCCTTATAACTCAAACCCTCCATTCCTGGCAACATTTTGGTCAAACCCTCTCCAGTTTAATAATATCCTTCTTATGACAGGGTGACCAGAATTGGACACAGTACTCCAGAAGAGGACTCACCAGTGTCCTGTACACCCTCAACATGAGTCCCAATTCCTATACTCAAAGGTCTGAGCAATGAAGGCAAGTGTGCTAAATGCCTTCTTAACCACCCTGTCTACATGTAATGCAAACTTCAAAGAATTTTGTACCTGAACCACTAGGTATTTCCGTTCTACAGCACTACCCAAGGCCCTATCTTTAATTGTATAAGTCCTACCCTTGTTTATTTTACCATAATACAATACCTCACATTTATCCAAATTAAACTCCAGCTGCCACTTACCAGCCCATTGACCCAATTGATCAAGATATGTTTGTAATCTTAGAAAGCCTTCTTCACTGTCCACTATGCCATCAATTTTGGTGTCAACTCAACTCAATTTAATTCAATAAGCCTTGCTTATATTGGCTAGTGATATAACAGAAACACATCAGAAAATTATTAAACTATAGCTTTTAAAAACGTTGCTCTATTCTTTCATGTTATTATTGACATTATTTTAAATGCTTACATGATTTAACAACATAATTTTTTTGGAACGAAATTACTAATTAAATACACTTCCATATTTTCTGCAATTGTCAATGCTGACAAGCAACTAACAGGAAACAATGCAGAAACTCCTCACAGACCCTTTTACCATTTGGCTGTCTGCATTTTCTATGGAAGTATGAACTATGCTTTATTCTCTTCAATGTCTGGCTCAAATCAAAAATAATTTAAATCTACTACTTTCATAAAGATGGATCCATTGGGTTGATTAGACCATTTACAGATTGTAGGACATTAGGATACAGATGTAGAATGTTGAGTCTTATCTACTAGTGGTTGAGTCATCATCAACTAAGTTAAGATCAAATTGGTTTCAAAAAGTGGGTAGAAATACCACCTCCATTCTAATTGTGATGATATGTATACCGTAGTCTTGAGGGCTTTTATTGCACAATGCTAGTGTCCTACCTAGGTTCAAGTCCCACCTGCTCCACACGTACGTCACACTATCCTGAGCAAGTTGATTAAAAATACCTACGCTGTTATCTTGAGAATGTACTTTATATATAAACAACTATATACAGTAGTAAAGGAGTAAGCAAAGTTCATTCCAATATGTCTGAGTTTTGGGCTGGCTTCCCATGAAATTCTATCCTCTTTAAAAGAAGAGTGTCACAGCGAAGAAAATATACTTTTTAAAAGTGAGTATATGAATAGGAAGGGTTTGGAGGAATATGGGCCAAGTGCTGGCAAACAGGACTAGGTCAGATTGGGATGTCTGGTCTGCACGGATGAATTGGATCGAAGGGTATGTTCTCGTGCTGTATGACTCTATAAGTATCAATTTGACTTGGTGGCAGAGAACAGCACACTATCTCTGACTTTTGATGACTGGATATGATCAATTTTTATTCTTTTCTCCAGGCAATAGCCTTCACAATTGCACATGATTCAATCTGCAAAATCAGCCTTAAATACCATAAGAAAGAATATATAATACCATAAGAAAGAATACAATACCTATTTTTACCTTACCTGTAAAAATCTGAGATGAGGCCTTCGTCAAAGCGAGAACATAAATTGTTAAGGAGACGCTCATGCTGTCCATATAAGCAGATATAGTTGGAGACCGGCAAAGATTTCAGTGATAGACAAGTGATGGATTCTACCATGCTGTATTGGTTCAAGTGAATTTCAAAGTAGTTCCCTTTATCGATGCTTCCTGTGATTAGTTCACGACCCTAGAAAAAGGACAGAAAATAATCAATGTAACCCATTCTTGCTAACTGAATTATAAATTAGAAATCGATTTTCTGGATGGCAAGAAAGATTTTGTGGCATACACTATTTCCTTGCCCAGGAGGACAATACTAGTTTGATCCAATATGAATCAATGTATAGGCGAATATTTGACAAGATAAAAGAATGCAAACTCTCAATGTAAAGAGGCTTAAAAAAGGCTCTCATATATAAATGTATTTCAGACAGATTTTCACAGATAACTATGTTGGATTGTGTCATAGCTGGCTATATCCCATTTCTGTCTCCATCATGTTGGATCTAATTTATTACACATCTCTGGGGCAGGTGGGATGTGAACCCAGACCTCCGAGGCTAAAGGTAAGGGCACTACCACTGAAACACCAAAGCCCTCTCAGGGTGGATCTAAGATAAACCATCCAGTTAATGGAGGCCATATAAGAACCATGATGAGCTGAAAGTGAAGGCCTTCATCACTGAAAGTGACCACTTGCTAATAACCGTTGCCAGAGCTGAATGGAAAACAGTAGCTACTTTAAAAGCAAAATCCAAGGAAGTCTAATTTTATTGAATATTTAGTAATTTTGAAGTGCAGGTGATCACTGATAGGAAGCGTTTTGCACTTGGAATTGGTATTGATCTTTCAAAACAGATCAGGAGAGAGATTTCAGGAGAACAGGACCTGACCATAAGGTGACAAGGTAACCATAGAATTTAAATCATAATAGCTATAAAAAAACTATATTCAACTTACAAAACAAAAGAACATACATGAGTTGATACTTGTTGAATTGAGGATGGCACATCTCAACATTATTGAAAACTTATAGCATATGATAATGGCCAATGTAGAAGTGACAATAGCTGTATTTGTTAGGGTCCAACCCAAAGCATGCTATCTCCACATATATTGAAAATGCGATGGAAAGTACCATACAATACTAACATAAAGGATAATTCCTTGCACTTCAGATGCTCATATTACTAGTATTTGCTATGAATGCACAGCATTCATTCTCTGTCCGTGTGATACTGTCTAGCCATGGCGTTCTGGTGGGTATCAGAGAGAAGAGTTTATGTTTAGAACATATTTAAGAAATTGCAGTCAAAGTGCTGAAAATTGTGGTTGGTTTTTGACAATGTTTAATAAATGTACAAATGTCCACATGTAGATAATGTGTAAATTATATTAATGAGATAACCTTTATTTATCTGTCAAATGGTTTAATTGGTGTGCATAAATCAGCCTCTTAGTAACTCAAATATTATTTAATACAAAAAAGCTTTTAAAATGTGTCTGTTAGTGTCACTGCATCTAAGGAATGAAGTGTAATTTGAAGAAATAAGGTGTAGAGCTGGATGAACACAGCAGGCCAAGACCATTCTTCAGAAGGGTCTAGGCCCGAAACGTCAGCCTTCCTGCTCCTCTGATGCTGCTTGGCCTGCTGTGTTCATCCAGCTCTATACCTTGTTATCTCAGATTCTCCAGCATCTGCAGTTCTTACTATCTCTGTAATTTGAAGAACCTGCCTTAACCAGTACATTTTGTAATTTTGACCCAGGAGTGTGGCTAGTTTTGTGGGTGGAGCCTAATCCAGCAATCTGAATCTTCAAGTAACATGATTGATAGTGTAAAACACCAGCCTGAAGGATATTCATTGGAGGTTACACAGATTTAAAATTCCTGAACTTTAATACTAGCTTAGCCAATTCTGCCTGGATTGTGCGAACATTACTTGCACAGACAGGTATAAATAAGTGATTCCTTCTGTTCAAGCTATGTTGGATTATCTGCAGCATTTTCAGCGCCTGAGGATCATTTGTGCAAACAACAGCAGAGAGATTCAATCATCTGTGGCTTCAATGTGTGGTTATATCACTACTTTTGAGTAATTAACTGACTAAGGATATCACACAGTACGTGATTGGAAACTGAATGTAGGCTGCAGATATTTATATCTCAATTTAATGTGGAGGAGCAGATAGCTGAAAATTGTAAAGACATGTTCCTGGAGCAGCAAGATATAAACACTACAAGGTGATGTTTTACAATGTGTATAGTTTCAGACTGAACACTGCAATTGCTACTGTAAATGTTATGCTAAGAAACAGGATAACTGCACTGAAATTGTCTCTGCAGAGAGTGGGGAAATACGCTAGAATACTCAGAAATGTGTGGCTACAGCAACAAGAGGCTGAAATTTATTTTGTTGTAATAACTGGCAGCTGGCAGCTCTGAGGAAGGGTCACCGGACCCGAAACGTTAACTGTTTTTTCCTTCACAGATGCTGCCTGACCTGCTGAGCTTTTCCAGCAATTTCTGTTTTGTTTCCTGAAGTCCCGTAGGGGATTGATGTTGGGCCTATTACTTTTTATTGTTCTTAATAATAATCCTGAATTTTTGCTTTGGGAGAAAACTTGTAAATTTTCAAATTTGTGTGAATGGCAGGACTACAAACAATGCTTGATTCCTTCATGCAGATATAGATGTGTTAGGGACCTATTTTAGTACAAATTAGTGTTTCAGAACTCCTCTACCCTTTATCCCTGTATAAATAGGGCAATCATCTCCATTGGGACAGCTCAAATTGGCCAGCATTAAACAGTGCTACTGCTCTTTACAGCCTTTTCATTTATGAAGTCTAACCTTGCATTTTTTTCAATTTGTATTTGATAAAATTGCTACATCTGAATCTGCAGCAGCATGTAAGAAATTTCTTACGGGTCTTAATGGGCTCCATCCTGTGCTCCATTGTATGATTGAAATACAACAGTTAAATGAGCCCCTTCCCTCAATGTCCTGATTGAGAAATCAGCCCAGTGCTCTTTACTACTGCCTACTGTAAACAGACCATCACTAGGTAGTATAAGTGTTGGGTTCCTACAGTTCCATATGCTTTAAGATTTTAAATGCTTTTAAGACCTTATCAGCAACCTCATAATCGGGCCTGTACCATTTGATCCATGGCAAACTTGATGCTGAAACATGCTGCATTGAAGCCATCATCCAAGATAATGGCTACCTTGATCAGATCATTTCTTATTGTATATTGCACAAACACATGAAAGGCCCCAGGGGGTCATTCATTGTCCTGTAAAGTGCCAGGGTACTTCTGATTACCCTGAAAGGGTGAGGTGTTTCAAAGGTTTAAGCAACAGCTGAAGCTGGCTGTCACTTCGTCTCCTAGGTAGAAGCAACAAGTGGTATTCACCATTAACAGGTGCTGTTGTCAAGCCAAAAAAGGTGGTCTGCCTATCACACAAATGTGTAATGTGATATTTGAATTTCTGTGTCAGTGTGATGCCAGGTATGTAGGCTGCATATCCCAAAGACTGGTGGATCATATCAAAAACATATCCCTTCACAGTTTTTTGCAACAACAAAGGAGCCATTAATATCCAACTAGCTGCAATTTAAAGGTTCATTTCTCAACGCAATGCTCTGACCAATCAGAGCCAATATGCTTCCTTTAAAATTTGAAATTTAAACAAAGCCCAGCTTTTAACTGTCATAAAAAATGGAACAGTAATGGCACAGGAACAGGCCCTTTGGCCCACCATGTCTTTGCTGACCATGATGCCATCCTAAACTAAACCTACCTGCCTGCACATGGTCCATATCTTTCTATTCTCTGCCTGTTCACATTTCTGTTTAAATGCCTCTTAAACAGTTCTATTGCATCTGCTTCTATGAACTTCCCCGGCAGCGAGTTTCAGTCGCCTAGCAGCTTCTGTGTAAAAGATTTGCATCGTACATCGACTTTAAACTTTTCCCCTCGCACCTTAAACTTATGCTGCCTAGATTTTGACATCTCCACCTCGGGAAAAGGACTCTGACACCTCAACATATCCATGCCTCTCATAATTTTATATATTTCTATTGTGTTGTCCCTCAGCTTCTGATGCTTCAGTGAAAACAATCCAAGTTTGTCTAATCAGAGATAGTAGGAACTGCAGATGCTGGACAAGGTGCAGGGCTGGATGAACACAGCAGGCCAAGCAGCATCATAGGAGCAGAGAGGCTGACGTTTCGGGCCTAGACCCTTCATCAGAAAAGGGGGAGGGGAAGGGGGTTTTGAAATAAATAGGGAGAGAGTGGGAGGCGGATAGAAGAGGGATAGAGGAGAGGATAGGTGGAGAGGAAACAAACAGGTCGAAGAGGCGGGATGGGGCCAGGAAAGGTGAGTGTAGGTAGGGAGTTAGGAAGGGGATAGGTCAGTCCAGGGAGGACGGACAGGTCAAGGGGGCGGGATGAGGTTGGTCGGTAGGAGATGGAGGTGCGGCTTGAGGTGGGAGGAGGGGATAGGTGGGAGGAAGAACAGGTTAGGGAGGCAGGGACGAGCTGGACTGGTTTTGGGATGCGGTAGGGGGAGGGGAGATTTTGAAACTTGTGAAATCCACATTGATACCATTGGGCTGCAGGGTTCCCAAGCGGAATATGAGTTGCTGTTCCTGCAACCTTCGGGTGGCATCGTTGTGGCACTGCAGGAGGCCCAGGATGGACATGTCGTCTGAGGAATGGGAGGGGGAGTTGAAATGGTTCGCGACTGGGAGGTGCAGTTGTTTATTGCGAACCGAGCGTAGGTGTTCTGCAAAGCGGTCCCCGAGTCTCCGCTTGGTTTCCCCGATGTAGAGGAAGCCACACCGGGTACAGCGGATGCAGTATACCACATTGGCAGATGTGCAGGTGAACATCTGCTTGATGTGGAAAGTCTTCTTGGGGCCTGGGATGGGGGTGAGGGAGGAGGTATGGGGGCAGGTGTAGCACTTCCTGCGGTTGCAGGGAAAAGTGCCGGGTGTGGTGGAGCTGGAGGGGAGTGTGGAGCGGACAAGGGAGTCACGGAGAGAGTTGTCCCTCCGGAAAGCAGATAAGGGTGGGGAGGGAAAGATGTCTTTGGTGGTGGGGTCGGATTGCAGATGGCGGAAGTGTCGGAGGATGATGCGTTGGATCCGGAGGTTGGTGGGGTGGTACGTGAGGACG